AAAAAAAAAAAAACCTAAACAACAATATCCACCTTCTCTCTCTTATTTGTCTAATCTCTCAATTTTTTCCTATCTTCGCCTTCTTTCTCTTATATGTTTAATTTTTTTCTGGGAATAACTATGGTTATGTACACTTTAACGTAATCTATTGAAACGTGTTCCCAAAAGGAGTAAAAACCCATACAATATTCAATTAAGTAAATTTCTCTAGGTGAATATCTTGACATCCAGTTTTATACTTCCCTCTACCACTTATTAATAAGTTTAACATAATATTCAACATAAGCCACTATCTTTTGCTTGTTCACATGGACCTATAATTATCTCAAAATGACTTTTACACTTGGTTGAGGAGCAATCAAATTCGTTTGAACGGACAATTAATATTTGACAGTATTTTTAGCATAAAAAAAAATGACAATAGCAATAAAAGTGGACTGACATCCTAAATTCAATGCCATGGAAGTAAGCACATGCAACCTAAAGTAAAATAATACAGATGAAAGTCTCATAAAGTAACTTACAATTATGTCAATATTAGAGTAGCAATTTAAAACAAATAAACAATAAGTACAAAACATAACAAATATAGTCCCCTATTTAAAGAAACACGAGACATGTCATTCAGAGTTGAGTTGAGCTGGTCACTAATCAACGATCCAAGTGTAGGTTTAGTCATCCCATCTAGGCATGGACATTGATTGATTAGCTGGTTCGATTACTCCGAACTACCATATAAGATAACCATAAGCCTATTTATCAATGATAAATCTTAAATAAATTAAAACCAGATTTTTTATTTTATTAGTTTTTTTGGACTAAATTTTATTAGTTAAAGCAAGTATTTAATTATATGAAATTGTACGCAAGAGTACTAAAATTGAAATGTATATAAGAACATCGTTTTCTTATTGAACTAAACAATTATGGTGAGAGTTCAAGAGTTGTGTAGTAAATAAAAAAGAAAATTTCAAGCCATATTTCCAGATATTACAACTGAAATTTGGTAAGTAATTAAAAATTAAATTGTTATTACATGCAATTGATTGAGCATGAAAGACTAAGGTAGAATAAACAAATTCATTATTATAGCGAGGGGTGAGAAAGCAAAGGAATAACCACAGAGAAAAAACAGGGCTATGAGAAAGAGAAAAAAAACAATTAATGGGGGCGCTGTGTGAAAATAGCGCTAACCTATGTAAGTGGTGATGCAACTGGCCGCACTGGCCCCCCTTTTTTGATAACATGCAATTGATTCAATTTAGCATGAATTGTCTTTCTGGGCTAGATAACATGCAGAAAATTTACAAAAAAAAATCATTGATTGATTAAAAGTAAGTATCAATAAAGGTAAGGGAAAGAAAGGGTTTATTGGGATCATGAAGCTTGTAAAGATGTGAGGTTGCTGCGAAGAGTGAACCTTGCTGAGTTGTAACGGATTAGACAGTTGGTCTTTTCCAAAATTGTTTCTGGTAATTCTTTAAAGATTGATCAATATATTTTGCTATTCTTCTAAAAAAAAGTGATGGAGAGAGATAAGAAAGAGTAAAATACCTGGATTGCGCCAAAACAATGGTAGTTCAATCAAAGACTCATCTGTGTTGTTCGCCTGTGATTGTATGGAAGTTGAAGGTTTCGCAGGAGAGCGGGCGGCAAGAGAGAGACTGGGGATCAGAGAGAGAGGAGGCGAAGAGAGATAAAGAGAGAGCGAGAGACGGAGAGAGAGCGAGAGAAAGAGTCGGTGAGTTTTGAAAGAGGGAATTTTTATGATAAATATTAGGCGTTGAAGGTTTCACAGTTGAGGTTTCGCAGGAGTGCGGGCGGCAAGACAGAGACTGCGAGACTGAGGAACGGAGAGAGACTGCGAGACTGAGGAACGGAGAGAGACGGCGAGACTGAAGAACAGAGAGAGAGATGATTTGTTGTTTCGCAGGAGAGAGCGAGAGACAGAGGCGGTGCGAACGGCTATTTGTTTGATTTCCCAGCCACCTAACCCTTTTTTAGAATAAAATTACAGATCCCCCCACGGCTTAGTTTTTGTTTTAAAAAAAATTACATAATCGTCCCTCCCCACAATTCAAGACTTTCAAGAGTTTATAAATATGATCAAGACTTTAATTATTTCTTCGTCACAATTCAATTACTTTTTTTAACTATCCCTAAAATTTCTCTCAATATCTTTGAAACCCATTTTTTTATTTAACTTTTTTTTTTATATAGCTTGTTAATTCGAAGAAGTAGGAGTTGGAACATTTGATAGAAGTTGTTAATTTTTTCACATCCAACTTTATGAATTTTCTTTTCTTTTTTTTTAAAAATTTTTACATAAAATATTTATTTTTTTAAAAGAAAACCCGTTTTAGGCCCAAAAAGCAATCCATAAGCCTCGATCCGTGTTTAGCCAGCTTTTGGCCTAATAAGCCGGCCCATGAGATTTAGATTTTTTCACGTGCAAATTTAGCCTAGCCCATTTACTAGTCAAAGCCCACCAGGGTTTATACATGCCAACCCAGCCCAACTCGTTGTCGAGGCCTAGTTACTCTAATAAAACTATAGTCGGTATTTAGATTTAGGGTGTCAATCTCACTCATCATTATGAACTTGATATGATATGATTCTAAAATTAACATGATTGATAAATACACATAATAAATGAGTTCGATTAAACCTTTACACTTATCTAATAGATTTTTTTTCAATGAGTATTGACATGAACACGACATGAATTATACACAGGTTAATGACACAACGCAATACAAATTGACACTCTACTCATATTTGAATTTTGATTTATTTTAATATATGATGATTCTTTCAATTTCTTTTATAGTGCTCATTTTAGAATTGAGATCTATTTTAATATGTGATTCCTTAAATTTCTTTCATATTATATCACTTGATCATAGATCTTATGAATTTAAAAGTGCCACAAGTAATTGAGTCTCTTCAATTATTTTGATATAGTTCTTTTCTTCATATTCCAATCTTTTCCATATGTGATATCTTGATGAATATGACCCATAATGTTTGCACGATTGGGGAGGAATGGAGACCAAGGATTTAAATTTTTGCTTGTCACCACTTTTGAGAATGGAGCAAAACAAGTTAGAAAGTTCCACCGAGACATTTGAATGACACTCTCTAAATATTACCATATCAAAACAATAATTAAAATCTATACGAACGAGGGCCAAGTTTATTTTTTCTGGTCACTTATTACCACTATATAAGATATATCCAATGTACAAAACTTTTGCTTATAGCAAAATCAAAAGAGATAAAATGTTGGGTAATCTTGTATTTCCAATTTTGAAGAGGTTAATTTCTGAACTCCCAACCTGTTTTATATCTTTTGGGTGAATGAGCATTTTTCAAATCTCTGAATCCAATTTAAATCTCTATTACATTTTATTAGATCATCACAATCTCAAATAAAAAAAATATATAATATATCCAACACACGACTGAGAAACCACTAAAAAGGAAAAATACATGAAGATGGGATGCAGGAGGTACCTTTTGATAGGTTCCCTTTTTCTCCGATCCATGCAAGCTTTTAGACAAGAAGAAAAACATCAAAACTCTAAAATTGTTCGCTCTTTCAACCGTTTTTTCATTGGCGCATTCTCACATTCCTCTGTTTTCCTTGTTCTCCATAAAAGAGATTTGAGAGAATGTTTCAAATGAAAAAAATAAACAAATCCCTCCAAAACACACCCACGAAAAAAGGCACCATCTTCTCCAAAGCCCAACACTTCTTTGCGGAAGCCGAAAGTGAATCACCCATCCATTTACTCCACCAAAGAAGCCCTTCCAAACACTACCTTCCACCTCCCCCCTTAGACTTTCTTTCCCAACCTTTTTGAACTTCCTTTGCCTCTCTCTTCATATCTCCACCAAACCACACACCAAAGATTGGAGCCCTGCAACTTACCTTCTTGGACAATGCATGTTAGCTGCCGATTCTCTTCTCTCCTTTACTTCATATAAAAACATGAGAGGGCTCAACAAATACTTGCATCCCACCCTCATCTGCAGGTTACATTTCTTCCTGTGATGAAATGGAAGAGCAACGACCCCATTTTCATGCATTCCTCCTTTGCTCTTCTACAACAGCGGTTCAAGCAATTGCAGAGAATTAAGAAAATGCAAAAAGAAAGAGAGTACTTGAGAATGCTCTCCGAATCCAAACAAGTCAATCCAACCAATCGCTATGATCCCTCCAGATTTTTCAATGGTTGGTGTCTATCCAATGGTTTCAACAAAGCCACATTATTATATCAGCAAATTATATCAGATTTTTAGATCCAAATAGCATTTTCTGCTCGCAAAATGGTAGATAAAAGAAGTAAGCTGGACACGGTGAGAGATTCAAAATATTTAGTGGCATTCACAAATACTATCATCCGATATACTTCAATTCGATAATCAAAATTTGGATGACTAGGGTGACTTGTCCGAAACATCTATGAGTTACCTTTTTGTTGTGCAAGATTAGTGGTTTACGTGGAATATATATTAGTCGTAAAACAAAAAACATACCCAAATAGATACAATTCAACCGAATCATATAAGATATCGATCAATACTTTGAACCAACCATGGTACAAAAGCATGCTATAGTGGTTGATGTGGGGTTACCCAAGATTTCGTATTGAAGTAGATTTTCATACTTGACCATTTCCAGGTAAGAACTACAATATATTAGTGGAGGTTGACATCATATTATATAATCATAATTTGGCCAAAATTGAGTTTTATAATTTGTCATGTTTTGGAAGGCTGCGTAGGTACAAGTGATTGATGTGCATGCTATGAATATTAATATATCATATTAACGTAAGTCGTTTAACAGTCCACAAAAAATCATTTTTATATTTATTTTTAATAATATTTTTTTATATAATTGCATTTAATAGTACACCTCCCCTGAAATTCAGCATACATGAGAGTTTTATAGTTGACACAAGTGTTCTTATAAATACCGTGGTGACGAGAGCCACGTTTTTATCTTGGCAATAAAGTGTAATACGTGATGAGTTGAACGATTTAATTTGAATACCCTCTCTCTCCCCGTAGATATACCCCTGATATAATTTTGTATCAAGTGTAAGGATGTACCACGAATGTTGGGCAAAACAATAAGATCAAAGAAAATGACTCGTTTTTTTTAGGAAAGATGAATCTCCAAGACAGAGAATGCAGAAAGATAATCACTGCAAGCTTCTTGTTGGCATTGAAGAATTCTTAATTTAATAAGCTAGAGGATTGGATTGATTGGAGATGAGCCTACAAAAATTCAATCACAGAGAAAGAGGATTTAATCTTTTTGTTGGAAAATTTGGTTTATTTATTATTCAAGATTAAGAAAATACATCAAACCCTAGAAGGGAAAAAAATTAATCATCCTATATTTCATTTCAACCACCATGAACAAGGAACATGCATTCAACAATGTTAGGAAATCATACAGAAATCCACCAAAGAAACGAAGAATGTAGCTGCAATACATGAATTGTACAAGTTTTAACGGCCGATTCCGGCAAAGTATGATCGCTTGGAAACAGTTTACACTGTGGTTCACCTTTCCAAGGATTATTTAGATTTAATCCATGGGATCCACCTTGGATAGTGGACCATCCTTACAGTGCGCTGTTTCCACCAACCGAAGCATTCTTCCCAGATACTTCAGATCGCGTCAAAACCCATCCCCTAACATTCTGTCTCATGCACAGCCTCTGCAGGAAATGGATGTTTAATTATGCCTGCAGGGACAACTTTTGGTACATATAACTACACATGAAGATGAGAAAGTAGCCTCGAGGCAAAGAAATGCATCCCCCAACTTGAGACATGACTAGTGCATTATTCAAGCAAGTGTACGACATGCAGTTGGAAGCATCTTCCAATGGGAAGTCAGGAATCAATTCGCAAGGTAAAGCCCAGCTGAATTCCAAACTGTGACTAAACTATTCAAACCCTTGTCTCATCAAACCACGTAAAGATACTTGATCAGCTAGTAGCGTAAAAACTCTTATAGAGCTCATAAACAATTGCCAAACTTGATCAACAAGGCATGGTATGACTATTAAGGCAAGTGAACTGCAATCAAGGATAAGACCACTGTCACGAAGATAACCAGCAAGGCTATGAAAGACATGCCACCTTATTCACCTTGATAAACACAATAATTTTTCGCAGTAAGTAAAATTGGTAATTTCTGCTAACAATTCAAATATAATCAGATTTAGGACCAATATTGTCAGAACATATCAGTAATACTTTGTCTCACTTGCTTGATTCTGTTAACACCAGAGGTAGAACAGGATGCAAGAATACATGCAGCAAGAAACAACTTATCAGAATACAAGTAGCATGCAACGACTTATCAAAAGCAAAGATTTTATTAATAGTAAAATGGCTGTTGTACAAAATGAGAGCAGAGTTCAAAATGTTCACTTTATGTGCAGTTGTCTGCTCTGTTCAGTGTTCACTTTATGACTCAAAGTTTAGATCTTTCAGAAATAATTTTCTCAGTCAATAAGATCTCGTAAGAATTTTAGTCTGCTGTTAGTAATTCAAACATGGGGATCATACACACAAGCAAACACTGTTAAGTCTAGCCAACTCTATTCCAGGATTGGCTAATGCAAAGATGGTAAACTGATGCAACCAGGTATAAATACATTGAATTATAAAAAGCAAACTATTGTCGGTAAACAGCTATTTAAATTCCACCATTGGGCACATCAAATAAGCCTTTGATTGTAAAGTCAATCAGTAAATTTGAAACAAAACTACCCAACTCATCCTCACTTAAAACCCATAACAAGATAAGTTATGGCTTGGCCTGGTGATATATGTATGGCTAATGCAGGGCTGGTATCCCATGGATGGCAGGGTAATTGGATTCGATTATCCCTCCTAACAATCCAAAAGAGAAGAGAGAAATACATTATCAGACAGAAAAACCCAGAAATGAGTTTGGGATCAGACTGACGTGCAAAAACATATTCAGCAGGGCACATATCACTGAGCCTATGAATGTCTTTAGATCTTCTCATCACTTCCTAAACTCATAAACATACAATTTCATATTCAGCAGTGCATTTGCTGATCAATAGTGGGAAGATCATCATAAGAAACAGCATAATCAGCCTGCAAAAATAAATCATAAAATGACAGAAACTAAAGGAGGAGATAACAAACTACACAAAGGATCATTGTCCATATAGACCAATCAGAAACATTGCCCAGTTTTAACCTGCAAATGATGCATCGGACAAGAGGATGAAACAGTGAACTAAAATTCAATACAAGTTTGTGTATGTTTGTAATCTAAGAGAGTTTTTCTCATATATTTCCAGGAATGATATTGATAACAAGAAACAACAAATAAAATGACTTCTGGTATATGTAAGGAAAATCTAAGTGATGGGCATAGTGTCAACTCAATGTCTATGATTGACAGAAACCTTGACATACTTTCTAATCATAAAGATTTGCCAAAAGAAATCGCAACGTTCCTAGCACCATCCTATATATGCCTGACATTTGACGGAGGACTTGAGGCCCAGCCATGACATCACTTGTATAATCAACACTCGAAACCCATAGTATCAGGACATCAGCTCCATAGGAAAGTGCTTCCTGTCAACAAAAAATAGAAACACAATTGATCATTCAGCAAAAATGAGGTGTGATGATATAATATAACTAGTGACCAGTGACTAACCCCAGGGTTCTTCCCTCCTTCAATTTAGAGTTTTTGGATCTACAACATTACCCAAACATTTGCTCATTTTTAATCCTCTTTCATCCAGTACAAATCCATGTGTTATAACACTAGAATATGGAGCCTTTCCTGCAATATTAAAAGAAAATATGACAAAAAATCATGCAGCATCTTACGAACTTAAATAAAGCATAGTAGGCTGTGATTTAGAACTAGTTCAGTACCCAAAGTAGGCCAACGAAAGGCTTGGCCTAAAACATACAATTTATTATTTTTTTTTAGTGATTAATAAAATGCTGAGTCAAAACCGAAAATACAACTACAACTCATCATGTACAATCAAAAAAAATTAAACACCTACCAAGGAAATCTTCTTCCTTACTACGGGCAGGCCACTCTGATCCTGCTGCAGCACAAGTCTTCCCCCCAAAGGAAATGGTTCTGCCAATGTAAGGTCAATAGAAGACCTCACCTGGACTGCATAATTGGCCAGAAAATCTGCCATAGCAGTTGCCTCTCTGTACACATGGCTAATCTGGTAATCCAACCTCCTAAGTATCCCAAAAATCTGCTCCATAACACCCCACAACCTCCGAGCAACTTGTGCCATTCCCAAAATCATCCTCACCAGAATCTGAGAGTCAGTTTCTATCAGAACTCTGTAAGCACCCAGATAATCCAGCAGAGCAAAACACTCTGCTTGCATGTTTGTTCCTTCCCCATAAAAATAAGCAGCAGGTATCACCATGTGCCCCTCAGGATTCCTTAAGATCATGCCACCACCAGAAAGAAAGCCCTTTTGCAGCTCCATCTACATTCAGTTTAAGCATATCAGCAGGAGGAGGAAACCAGTTCACCCAAACTGCCCTCATCAGCACCTTTTATTTCACAAACACACTCCAATTCTGCAGCAAATACTTCTCAGCAGCAGAATATGATCTTTTGGGCTTCAATCCAAAAGCCTGATACCTAAGGGAACTAAAGATCTGCATAAACAGTGAATAAGCACTCAGTTGCACCCCTTCAAATCTCCTCCTGCACCTCTCTTTCCAAAGAGACCAATAAACAAGCATAGAGGCACTCCTTCTTAACCCATGACTTAAGGATTGTAGCTTGAAACTTCTACCAAGCCTCAGCCGTCTGGTTAAAGGAGGCTCATTAGAAATGAGCTTAAATCCCATAACAGAACTACCCTTTGCCAAACAGATAGAGAAAAATCACAGTTAACAAATAGGTGAGAAATGCTCTCTGAATCCTTGCAGCAAAAGACAGCACCTGCTTACCAATGGAACCCCAATACTCTGAACTCTATCATCTACAGACAAGGCCTTCTTAAAGATTTTCCAAGCAAACAGCTGAGCACTAGGGGATACCTTTTGTCCCCAAATAGCCTTAGCTACTTCATTCTGCAGATCATGTCTCCTTACTAGCTCCCATGCAGACTTAATCAAAAAATCCCCAGAAGCATTGCTCATCCAAACCCTTCTATCTGCTTTATCAGT